CAACGCTCACATTCCTTGAACAGGCTACTACGTTCAAGTTTTCAAATCAAGCGATGCATGCAACACATACAGGACCAGCGACAGATGCCAGCTGGTCATACGCAGTTTCACGACGGACTCCTGGTCGTGTTTTGATCACACGAGTCGCAGTCAAGCAGAGTCTGGAAGATCCATCCTCCTTGCGTGTCTTGCTTCTGTCTTGCAAGCAATACTTCAAACACAACCTCCTACCTACGTAAGAGGGCGTGAGTGGAGCAAGGAGGGCAATCGGTCCGAAGCATAGGGAAGCAGAGTCGGCATCCGTTGTTGGAGTGATGAAAAAGGAAGCTGTGGAGTGCAAGTGCAGCAAGTGACTCTTCTCTTGAGCACAAGCCGTCAAATATTTGAGGATTGTGTGTTTGCGCTTTTGGTCAGCGGCATTTTTTTGGTGTCCAGTCGGACGGTCGGACGCGATGCTGAAGAAGAGGCCGCGCGGGAGTGTTGTTGCCATTGAACCCATCTCGAAGCAGCTGTTGCACAGATCTACCCGATGCCGAAGACGAGGGACCGTGCAAGAGTGTTGTTGCCGTTGAACCCATTTTCGAAACAGCTGTTGCGCAGGTCAACTCGAGCAGATGTCGTTGCGGCCGCAGTGTGTGTTTGTTGGGGGTTTTCCCGGTTGTCCTTTAACCCCTCAATAGCTAGGGGGCGATTCAGATCCATCCGGTTCGGAAGCCTAGAGAGCGATTTAGATAGATTTAAATCCGGCTCGGACGCCTTGCCAGGAGGCCGATTTACATTAATAAATCTAAATTGGTCCAGCTCGGATGTTTTGCCAGGGGGCTGATTTAGATATATAAATCTAAACTCGCCCGGCTCGGAAGCCTAGCCACGGGGGCGATTTCTAAACTGCTCCAGCTCGGAAGTCTAGCTAGGGGGCAATTTGGATTTATAAATCTAAATCCAGCTTGGAAGCCTAGCCAGGAGCAATTTAGATTTATGAATCTAAATCTGGCTCGGAAACCTGGTGCGGGCGATTTAGATTTATAAATTTAAATCCGGCTTGGAAGCTGCGGCCAGAGAGAGCGATTTAGATTCATAAATCTACCAGCTTGGAAGCCGCCAGGGAGGCGGAACTTTTCAGCATTAGGCCCGCATTCGTTTTCGAGTTTGGCTTTGAACGAGCTTCTAAGGCGCGAGAGGAGGGGTTGCAATCCCTCAATTGACGCACCGCCAGGGCCGGCTTTCGCTTTTGGACCACTGGGAGCGCATGCTTCAACAGCGCTGTTTGGCTGGCACCATGATCGAATCGTTGGGGCTGGAATGACCTCTGGGCATTGCCTGGAACGCTCCTGCTTCCTCCAGTCGCCGCTGGAATTTCCCTCACGTTGAAGTCCGAGCCAGCTGCTCGAGAAGCCCTGTCGCTAGTTTTCACCTTCCTCTGGACTGATCGACGCCCAGACTCGAAAAGCTACGCTTTAAAATTGCTTCTCGAGCCCCAAAACCCAAAAATCGCATTCTTCCAGGCCCCTCAGCTCGGATCCTACAGAAGAATATCTTTCCGAGCGCCCCCAAAACCGCATTTTGCAGGTCCTCCAGCTGAGTGGAGCTCTGCATGAATTGCAGGCTCTTGCAGACCTGCCACAGGACCGCCGTCATGCGCTGGTAGTCGAGAGTCGCAGTCTCGAAGCGCTTCAGCTTGCAGAAGCTCTTGCCCACACGTGCTGGGCCACGAAGCCCACCCACTTAGTCGTAGTCGACGCCGTCGAAGGCCTCGTCGCGGACCGCCCAGGTGTTAGCCTCGCCTCCTCTCGCAAGCAAGGTTTCTCGACTCTGAGCCACGGCTAAGCGTGCCCCACGGCGGACCGGCCAGATTTATTTGCAAATCTAAAACGGGCCGCCTGGCTTTGCCCGGTAAGTTTCCGAGCCCCGCCAGTTAAGAAAAATCTGAATCGCCCTTCCTGGCCATTTCGAGCCCGCCAGGATCTAAATCGCCTCTCTCTGGAGAGAGTGTTCCAGCTGTCCACTCTGTTGCCTACGAGCCTCGTTGAGAGATGCTCGAGAATTCCACGCTTCGAGGGACTGTCGATTATGCAGGCTCGGGGCGGCCGGTCGCGGAATCTAAGGGGCTCTAACAAACAGGACGCGCGGTGGTTCGGAAACCATTTGAGGTTACAGAGGGCCTGCGAGCCGCTCGGAAGCTGTTCGGAGGGCTGCAGGAGGGCTTGCGAGCCGCTCAGGGTACAGAGGGCCTGCGAGCTATTCGGAAGCTACTCGGAGGCTGCTTAAAGGGCCACAGAGGGCCTGCGAGCTATTAAGAGGGCCACAGAGGGCCTGCGAGCTATTCGGAAGCTTAGAGGGCTGCCAGCTATTCGGAAGCTGCTTAGAGGGCTACAGAGGGCCTGCGAGCTATTCGGAAGCTGCTTAGAGGGGCACAAAAGGCTGCGAGCTATTCGGAAGCTGCTTAGAGGTACAGAGGGCCTGCGAGCTATTCGGAAGCTGCAGAGGGCCTGCGAGCTATTCGGAAGCTATTCGGAAGCTGCTTAGAGGGCTACAGAGGGCTAGCGAGCTATTCGGATTAGGAGCTGTTTGCGCAGGCGCTAGATTGCGAGTTGCCACGAGCTACAGCCGGGTGGGCCCCCATTGAAGCCGTTTTAACGCTCTTTGCAAGCACTTTAAAGCCCTTTGAATTCCTTGAACTGCCGGCCTTAGACTGCAGAATTGACAAGGCTTCGAAGTGCATGATTCTTGTACATGTCTCGAAACGAGGCTCGTAGCCAATACAGAACGGAGGCCTGGAACACTCTCCCCAGAGAGAGCCGATTAAGATTTATAAATCTAAACCGGCCTTGGCTCGGAAACTCGTCGGAAGAGGCAGTGGCCCGATTTAGATTTATAAATAAATCGGGCCGGCCCGGCCGTCGCAGGGCCCGGTTTGATTCCGGGCCTCACCCGGTTTGATTCCGGGGCTCACCCGGCTCTCTCTGTGGAGGGTGTTCCCAGCCTCCGTTCTGTGTTGGCTACAGGCCTCGTTTCGAGACATGGGTCAGAATTCGGCACTTCGGAGCACTGTCTATTCTGTAACCTGCGTGCCGGAGCTCAAGCAATCTTCGGGGCTCAAAAGTGCTTGCAAAGAGCCTCCAAACGGCTTTAAGGGGGCCCTAGCCAGCAGCTTCGCAGGCCTGCGACTCGCAGACCAGCACTCGCAGGCTTCCGAGCAGCTCGCGGGCCCTTCAGATCGCTTCCTAGAGCTCGCAGGCTCCAGATTCGAGACCCTCCGCTACTAGCTGCGCCCTCCAGATCGCTTCCTAGCAGCAGGCAGGAATTTAGATTTGTAAATCGCCCCGCCCTCCTAGCAACTCGCAGGCCCTCCAGACCGCTTCCTAGTAGCTCGCAGGCCCTTCAGATCGCTTCGTAGCAGCAGGCGGGAATTTAGATTTATAAGTCTAAATCGCCCCGCCGTCCTCGCAGGCCCTCCAGATTCACAGACCAAGACTACTAGCTCGCAGGCCCTCCAGACCGCTTCCTAGTAGCTCGCAGGCCCTTCAGATCGCTTCCTAGTAGCTCGCAGGCCCTCCAGATTCGCAGACCCTCCAGACTACTAGCTCGCAGGCCCTTCAGATCGCTTCCGAGTAGCTCGCAGGCCCTCCAGATTCGCAGACCCTCCAGACTACTAGCTCGCAGCCCCTCCGGATCGCTTCCTAGCAGCAGGCAGGAATTTAGATTTATAAATCTAAATCCTCGCCCTCCTAGCAGCTCGCAGCCCCTCCAGATCGCTTCCTGGCAGCAGGCAGGAATTTAGATTTATAAATCTAAATCGCCCCGCCCTCCTAGCAGCTCGCGGCCCCTCCAGATCGCTTCCTAGCAGCAGGCAGGAATTTAGATTTATAAATCTAAATCCTCGCCCTCCTAGCAGCTCGCAGCCCCTCCAGATCGCTTCCTAGCAATTTAGATTTATAAATCTAAATCGCCCCGCCCTCCTAGCAGCTCGCAGGCCCTCCGAAGCTCTCTAGGCTTTCCGAGCTCCAGAGCCAGCGTGCGCCCGGTTTGCAAGCATTCTGGAGCCCCTAAAATTGTGCGCCCTGGCACCTCCAAGTCCTACAATCTGCAGGCCTGCGAGTTGCCCAATTCTTGGGCATCCCTCGAAACGCGGCCTGTAGCTGACACAGAACGGAGACTGGGAACACCCTCCACAGAGAGAGCAATGTGGAAGAATCAGCACCACATTACTTTGGAATAAAAAACAAAGAAAAAAGTGCAGGATACCCCTCAGCCTCCTGTGTGCAAGCCGACATGTTTTCTTTTGTTTCCATGTCCATGTCTGAACATGCTGAGCAAACAAACATGAAATGCTAGACCTCCACGGCTGTTGGCAAACTTTCCGAGCGCATCGAACTTTGTTGTCTCTAGTAGTAGCTCTGATGGTTCGGTTGTTCCATGTTGTCTGACGAAGCCTACTTTCGTGCTGTTTCTATTTTCTCGTCATCTTATCGCATAGCAATATGATTTCGCAACGTACTGTTCTTTAGCCTTGAAAGGTCTGAACAGTTCGCATCAATTTGCACGTTGGGGTCCGGTGGGTGCCGCCCGTCCGTTGGATTGCGTGGCGCTCGCGACGATGGATCGTGGTTGTTGCCTGTGCAAGACAAGCTGGTGTGGGACGGTAGGTGGGCGGCGGATGCGACGTCAGTGGTACAAAAACATGTCGCAACGTCACCGTCGTCCTACAGTGACCCGTGTTGTTTCACCGCTACGCCGATGCGCTTTCGTGTAGAAATCGGGTACACTCGTGAATGGTAGAGGCGGGCTTGGCCCGACAGCGTTGCAGGTTTTTCATAAGACTGGTTCCATGTTTACATACTGTCTTGCCCGCATCGTCCAAGACTGCAGACTCCGAATCAGTATTTCATCGCGAATTAAGATGTCAAGCCTCGCTTGGGCTCAATGCTGGCATGCAAAGCATCCTTGGACCTTTTTTACCAGTCTCACTTCACTAAGTCGCATTTTCTTGGCCACACCAAATGGACGATGGATCGTCCGACGGCGATGCAGATTCGCAAGCAGAAGACGAAAGCAGTGGTTCCAATGACGAGAGTTGTCAGAGTGGTGCTGATGATGTTGTCACGGAAACTGCTCCGATTCAGGAGCTGGATGACGCGACATGTACCAAAAAGAGCGTCCTTCCGCAGCCGGAAAAACTGGCAAACGTACTTACAAGGTGGCATGACATCGTGGACTGCATCGGCATTGATATTCTTTCGTGTTTGGGTTCTGCTGCTGCAACATTGATTGATGGGACGGCCTTGTTCCGGGAGGTCGGATCGGACCTGCTTGTGGATTGGATGCATGGTGGCCAGGTCCTACATGCTGTGTACCTTGCCGAGAAGCTTGTTTCCCACATCGTGGAGAAGGGTGTTTCAGTCTGCCTTTTCTTCTTTGAAGAGGACTGGACAAGTTTGCCGTTATCACTTCAAAGATTGCTGTGGCTGGTTTTGTGTGACCACTTTCAAAGAGCATCTTCAAGCAATCGAGCTGACGAAGTTCCGGTGAGTCGGATTCGAACGGTTCTCCTCCCTGGCTCTTTTCTGAACGAGCGGGGCCAGGACAGCTTCGAAAAGTTGGTCTTGCGATATACCCCATCATGTGTCATTACGGATTTCGGGCGGCCTGCGCCGTTGACCCCCCACTGTGGCCTGGAGGCCAGTCAGGAGCCTTTGTCTTTCGACACTCTTGAGACAGAGTTTCCCGGACTACGATCGTGCTTGTTCGTTCACTGGCTGCATTGTCTTGACTTGCAAGTACTTGACATCGAAAGTGTGGACGTTGCCGGGCCCCGCCTCATCGGAAGTCTGCTGGCACCAGTTCTGTCGCCGCAAAGACGGGCAAAGCAGCTGCCCATCTTTATCAGGATCCTGTCCAAGTCGACCCAGCAGTATGCGGTGTGGAAGGCCGCACTGGACGATTCGTCTCGAATGGGGACATCGGAATCCATCCGGCTCGCTTCGGGTCGGTTGGCTTTGAAACGTCTCCTTGGGCATGCCTTCAAGACTGGTCGCGAGGCTTCAATCCCCACCTTGATTCCATTGAGTGCAGCTTTTACCTGGAGCTTGGCCGCATTGGAGGTGTTAACCCTTGAAGCTCGTCGCATTTCTGACGCAGATCTGCCCTGCCTGCCAGAAGCTCTCGGAGTGCCTCGCTTCCTCCTTCAGTTGCATGAAGCTCTGTCGCAGGCTATTCTTTGCATCCGGCAGTCGCATCCTGATGTATTCGATGGGACGTTAGCTGACATATTCGACGGTCGAGTCTTTCATCGTCTTGCGTGGGAATGTCTGCAGACAGAAGATGTGGACGCAATCTGCAAGCGAAATCCATTCAGCACCGACTTGTCCTCAGCACTGGAGTTGGCCTCGAGGCCCGTGCGCATTGACAGGTAGAGCATCAAGGCACCATCATCGTCACGATGGTCATTATCGCCGCCATCGTCCTCATCGTCCCTCGTCATCACCTCGCTCGTAGGTGGTACCATCATCATGATGATGGCGAGCACCGCTACCACCTTCCTCATGACTTTCCTTGTCCGCACGTCGTTGCCGTCGACGTATTCGTCATTGCCCCAGGTCATTGAAACTGCCTTCCTAGAATCTGTTGTCATCGTAGTTGTCGTCATCGTACTAGTACTCGCCCTTGTCGTCTGCGCCGTCGTCGTCCTCGTCGCGTCTTCGTCGTCGCCGTCGTTGTCGTCGTCTCTTCTCCCTTGCCGTCTTCGTCGTCTGCCCTGTCTTCAACGTCTTGGTCGTTGCTGTCATTATCAGCATGTCATTCTCTTTAGTCATCGTCGCCAGCTTCACCTGTACCAACATCATCTGCACCATCACATCAGCACCCTCACCGACACACCGTCCTGATAGCGCGGCTATCACCAACACTGTGACGATCACTGTCGCCATCAAGCGTGTCGTCGTCGTCGTCGTCGTCGTCGTCCTCGTCATCCCCATCGTCGTCTGCATCCTCATCGTCATCGTCATCACCGCTATCATCATCATCATCATCATCATTATCATCATCATGATTGTTATCAGTATCAGTATAACCATCGTCATTTCACCATCATCGTCATGTTGCCATGATCCCAAGCTGAAACCGGACTAACTCCAGAGCGATGGTCAGCAGCACTTAGCCTCACGGAACAAGCATGTCAATGTCATTTCGTGGTTCCGTCAGGATCTGGAGCGACAATGCCCCCGATGGTACCGGGAGCTTGCTGAATGTTTTGCCTTTTGGCTGCAACGTACGGTCCTCGTGGCATTGGTTACGCCAGTTTTAGAGTTGCGAAGCGTGCACATGGACATTCCATGCTTTGAAGGCATGCAGCCCTGCTGAACGCAGACAGAAAATCAGGAAGCAGAGGCATAATTGAGCATTTTGGCTTTCCAATCTTCAGATTGCACCATTCAATCGAAGGAAGATTACATGCTTCGCGGCATGTGCGAATGAGTCTTCCCACTCCCTCCTTTAGGCAGACGGCCCCAATACTTTACACTCGTCATTGAGCTCGTTTTAGACGTCAATTGCTTGTATAATCTATGCGGCTCACCTAAACCCTTAACCCCAAACCCTAAACCCTAAACCCTAAACCCTAAACCCTAAACCCTAAACCCTAGCGGTTCACCCAAAAATTCCCCATCTTCAGACCTCCGGTCCCCCAGTTTCCCCAGGCACGGCTTGCGCGAATGGGCTCCAGTGTTCCAGCCCGAGCCACGGGAGCGCTGCAAAGAGCTTCCGGAGGGGAAGCTCGTGAGCGTTGCAGGCCGCTGTGCAATGGGAGTGAGGTCTTAGAATATGAGTATCAGCACTTGGAGGTCTTAGCAGGAATTTGGGAGATGGCCCAAGAAAGCAGATTTGATCTGTTTATCTGGGAGGGGTCGATGCAGGGAGCGAAGGAGCAGGGATGCCCTCAACCCCAGCATTTCGCAAGGCGCACCTCTCGCTCGCCTCGCCGTCGCTGATTTGCTGCAGCAAGTGGACGGTGACGGCTCCCTCCCCGACTTCGGCGTGCTTCCGGCATATCAGCCGCATCACTACCATGTGGGCAGGCCCCTGGAGGAGCCGGATGCGTACCAGGCGGCTCTTGCAGTCTTGAAGTCAACGAGGGTCCTGCGCCTGGATGCTCCCACGAAGATGTCTATCCTCCTGCAGTTCCTGACGGATGATGGCGTGGTGAGAGTCCACAAAGATCGGAAGGCTCCTCCTTGGATGTATCAAGTTCGCACCAAATTTGTGGAGTTCAGTCTGCAAAGCTTCACTGATTCATCGAGATCTGACGTTCCGCTCAAGGATCTGGCTCATCTGAAGGTGTTGCTAAGTGCAGCGCAGTATCCTGTGACCTTGAATTTCAACATGGCGGCTTCGCAGGCGTCCGTTGACAGGAAAGCACACAAAGCTGCCGCCAAGAACCAGCATTTTCTGGAATCCCTGCTTGAGGGGAGCCCTGTCACACGACAAACCATCGTGACGGGGTCCTCTCCCGACCATGCAAGAAGAAAAGAAACAGCCAACAGCCCTGGAAAGAAAGGAGCACCCCAGCGCTCGGCCGACCGTGTCCGGCAACAGGCTAATGCGGAAAAGCAGGCCAAGCTGCTCAAGCAGAAAGCTGAACAGGTGAAGCAGCTGGTCGAAGACTTAAGGGCAACTCCACAGTCGGGGAACCGGACGAAAGCCGTGGATTCCTTTGCCAGCAGTCTGCGACGATGTTGGGAGGAAGGTGCAAAAGCACCAGCTTTAAAGGGCATGAAGCATTGGTTGACGGAGAGTGATGCTTGGCTGGCGTGAGGCAACCATGCATGTGACACACCCGTGCCCTGTGAGTGAGTGCAAAGGCATCTAAACTGTAGCTCCCGCTAACTCCAACTAAGACGAACCGAGGAAGGCTTGGATAAAAAGAAGGCGGATGGAGTTGGAAGGCATACTTTCCTGACAATCCAAGCTGTGCTGCGGATGTGTGGAGGCGCGCGCGGGGTGTCAGTGTTTTGTTACGTTTAGGGCTGCGGTGTCTGAGAGCGAAGTCCCAAATTACAGGCGTGGATGGTCTGAAGGGAGAAGAAGGCGGGTCTGAGCTCTTGCAGGCGATGGCAAAGCTTGCAGACAAACATTTGGGCATGCCGGATTTAGCTGCACAGCTTGGTCGGTCGAAGGCCAAAGAGAGACGCAAGGCCTCCGTGTGCCCCTTTCGCTTTCAGCTGAGCGTCGTGCCCGAGCATTTGGCCAGACCTGCCGGGACGCACGATCCGCGTCTCCAGTTCAAGCCTGATGCATGGCAAGTTCGGTTGTTGGATGTTGTGGACGAGAGGCAGTCAGCCCTGGTGTTGGCACCGACAGCATCCGGCAAGACCTTTATTTCCTTCTACATCATGGAGAAGATTCTCCGAGCGGATGATGCTGGGGTTGTCGTGTATATTTGTCCCACAAAGGCTCTAGCAAATCAGGTGTATGCTGAGATTGGGGCAAGGTACAGCAAAGAGTTCACGAACAGGCCCGATCGGCATTTCTGCGGCATTTTCACACGGGACCAGCGTGATCACGCCCTTGATTGCCAAGTCTTGGTCACGGTGCCGGAGTGTTTCCTAATCTACTTCCTCTCGCCATCGCAAGAGTGTAGCAATTGGGTGGGCCGGCTGCAATATGCCATCGTGGATGAGGTGCACTGTCTTGGTGAGGAGAGTGGACGGGTGTGGGAGCAGCTCCTGTCACTTGTGCCGTGTCCATTGGTAGCTTTGTCTGCCACCCTCGGACAGAGTGACTGCTTCGTGTCGTGGTTGAAGTCACTAGAAGAGCATCGCGGCCGCCAGCTGCATGTTGTAACGCACCATGGCCGTTTCAACGACTTGCAGCCGTGGGTCTTTGATGGTCAGGATCTACAGCGCTTACATCCCGTTTTTGCTCTGAAGCCTGCGTCTGGACATGGGGAGGTGCTCTGCCAGGGCTTGACTCTCATACCCGAAGATTGCCTGCAGCTTTGCGACACCATGCTCGAGTCCACAGCTTGCAAGGGCGAGGGGAAGAAGCTCGCCCCTGAAGTTTACTTTTCCAGTCTTCCAGACGGCTCTTGGAATCTCAGCATGCAGAATGCGCGAGACTGGGCCACAGACGTAGCAAAGTACTTTGACAGCATGACCCGAGAAGATCATGCCAGGATTGTCAAAGAAGTTGGCACAGTGTCTCTAGCAGCTTTCAGTCGTGCAGATCAGGATTTGGAGGGAGGCGAAATGGCATATCTCACAAGTCGTATCGGTAGAGTGGTTCGCCAGCTGAGAGAGTCGGGCATGCTGCCAGCAATCTGTTTTCACAACAGCAGAACAGGATGCGAGATCTTGGCAGAGCACTTGCTTCGTGACGTGAGTTCTCAGGAGAAGGAGCTGAAATTGAAAGAGAAAGTTCCTGAAAAACTCAAGGCTATTGCCAGCCGGTTGGATGAGCTGAAGAAGGGTCTGCAGCGCGTCGAGAAAGCTCTTGACAAGCGCGATGGCGAGCTCCCTGCCGACCTAACCTCGCAGGAACTGGCGTCGATGGAGGAGGCGGAGAGCCTGGTGGCTGAGGGAGACAAACTTCGCGGAATACGCCACGAATTCACGTTCATGCCCAGCGGCCAGTTTGTAATGACGCAGGAGGCGCTTGAGGAAGAGTTTAAAGTCAACGGACCTTACTATCCCTTCGACAAGACCAACCCGCTGAACCTGGGCTAGAATAGAACCGGAAAGTTCTTCCAGTAGCACTGCGAGCAGAATAGTATTTGTTCGCCCTAGATACGAGTCGAGTGGGTGAAAGAATTTCAAAGAGCAATCGAGGCACAGCTTGTTGCTGCGCGGCATCGGTGTGCATCATGCAGGTTTGTCGAGTGAATATCGGAAGGCTGTGGAGCGGCTCTTCCGCACTCGTAAGCTTGGTCTTGTGGTGTCGACCTCCACCCTGGCATTGGGAATCAACATGCCCTCCAAAACCTCAATCTTCGCTGGGGACTCCATCCACCTGACCCAGATGCAGTTTCTGCAGGAAGCAGGTAGGGCTGGACGTCGTGGCTTTGACCTGCGTGGTCACATCGTTTTCTTCGGACTCCATTCCCGAAAGGTTCAGAAACTCCTTCGAGGGGAGTTGCCTCAGCTGCGAGGGAACGTAGGAGTTTTGAATGCTTCTTTGGCTCTGCGATTGGCGCTGAAGGCGCAGGCTGTGGCTTCTGACAAGGAGCAGCTAGCAACTACAGCTGCGGCCACGCAGCGTCTGCTGAGTCTTCCACTATTTTGTCCTTCCCCCATCACCAAGATACAGCAGAATCTGATTTTCTGCTTCTACATGCAGCAGTTGCAGAGTGATCAGCTTTTGGATCAGAAGTTTCAGGGCACAGCTTTCGCTGGGTTTGCAGCCCACATCTTCTGGCAGGATCCGGGCAACTTTGTCTTGGTGGCGCTATTGCAGGAGAAGGGCTTGCTGCGGGAGCTATGCACGGGTCCCCGTGATGCATTGATGGCCGTTCTGTGCCGTCTTTTCTGCCGACTGCCCTTGCAACCCTGGATGCAACGCAATATGGCCTTGAAGCGTGCTCGTGGGCTTCGCAGTTCGTCCGTTGTGTGCTTGCCGAAGTTGCCAATGAGGGTGCAGGAAGCAGTGCAGAAGCACAACGACCTCATCTTGCAGGCAGTTGTCCATCGCCTGCGCTGCTTCATTCACCGGGGTGCCGTGAACACTGTTCCACACGATCGTCTCCCGCTGACTTGGGCACGCCCGTGCTCTCCTTCTGTCCGGCACCCTTCTCCTTTGCTGCGGTCTCCCTTTATAGCCTTGTCCGGTCACGGAGAGTGCTTCGAATCTTTCGAGCAGCTTTGCAGCACGGTCCATGAAGACTTCCGCCTTCACCGAAGCATGTTTCCTGTTGTGAACCCGACGGGGGAGGACCACCTCAACGCCTACCTCTATGATTTCTACAGGCACGGGCAGAGGAATGCGCTCATCGAGAGCAACAATATTCCTGAATCGTGTCTGTACGTGTTGCTGGAAGACTTCAGCTTCTCGGCTACCAAACCTCGGTGAACTTGACTAGAGGCTGTTTGCAAGTAGTGTAGGAACCTGATTAACAAAACCCTGGGTCCCTATTAGGGTTCTTTCATATATACCCAAATATATCGGCGATACAGGGCCAAGGTTTCTTAATCAGGTTTCTACTCTTAGAGCCGACGAGCCTGGAATCCTAGGACCTGTAAGACTTCGCGCCTCCCAACCAGCCACGATGAACAAGACAAGGCTAGAGAAATTGATAGACAAGTACACAAGTAAGCCGTAAGCGCACATAATTGAGCACATTCACGGTGGAATGTCTCCCTCCCTCCCTCCTTCCCTCCTTCCTCTCCTTCCCTATCCTGCATCCTCCTTTCTCTTTGCTATGTGCAGAAGGTACATTCCCCATTACATAATGTGCAAATGTCTCGTGTGACCTGGGAAACTAGCCTAAAATGATACACCTTCATGTGCAGACCCTCATAGACCCTTATAGAGCATTCTAGAACCCGGAAGAAACCCTTTAAGGATCGTAAAGGAACAGTGAAATGAAACCCTAAACCCTAAACCCTAAACCCTGAGCCAAGTCGTTCCAGGCTTCCTGCTCAAGGCCTTGGCCACCGCAGCCAAGTACAGAGCAGACCGATGCGAAGGAGGGGAGCTCGCAGATGTTGAGGTGGGGAGCGGGATTACATTATTCAGGATTTTTTAGGGTTCAGGATTTAGGGTCGAAGTTTAATGGGGTTGAGTCTCAGATGTGCAGCGAGCCTGGGGAGCAGGGTTCAGATAGTAGTAGCATATTATAGTACAGTCTAGTAGTATCTCGAATATCTCGTCAAGTACCTCGTCTGGCCTAGTAATCTAGATTTAGCCTAGTACCTAGCCTGATTTCTAGTCTAGCATCGAGCCTAGCATCTAGTCAAGTATCTGGTCGAGTATCTAGTCGAGTGTTAGCAAGGGTATCTAGCTGAGTATCCAGTCTGGTTTCTACCCTAGCAGCAGCAGGCAGTGGTACTGAAGTAGTAGTAGTAGTAGTAGTAGTAGTAGTAGTAGCAGCAGCAGTAGTAGTAGTAGTAGTAGTAGCAGCAGCAGTCGTAGTCGTAGTCGTAGTCGTAGTCGCAGTCGTAGCCGTAGAAGTAGTAGTCGCAGTGGTCGTCGTCGTCGTAGTGGAAGTAGTAGTGGTGGTAGTAGTAGTAGTAGTAGTAGTCGAAGTCGTAGTCGTAGTCGTAGTCGTAGTCGTCGTAATCGTTGTCGTAGTCGTAGCCGTAGCCGTAGTCGTAGTCGTAGTAGTAGCAGTAGTAGGAGTAGGAGCAGGACGCAGGAGAAGGTGTAGGAGCAAGGAGTAAGAGCCACAGCACAAGCACAAGCAGCAGCAGCAGCAAAAGCAGCAGCAGCAGCAGCAGCAGCAGCAGCAGCAGCAGCAGCAGCGGCAGCAGCGGTAGAGGCAGCGGGCAACTGCAACAAGACCATAGCAGTTTTTTGCAATAACAATAACAAGCACAATGATGACATTAACAACAAGAGGAAGAACAACAACACGAGCACCACAAACAGCAATAACGACAATAACTGCAGGAACACCACGAGCAACAATATCAATAATAACAACAGGAACAACAGGAACAACAAAAACACAAAACCAACAACAACGACAAGAACGACAATAACGACAGTAGCTACAGTAACGACAGTAACGACAAGAACGGCAAGAACGACAATAACGATAGTAACAACTAGAACAGAAGGAACAACAACAACAATCACAACCACGACCACAACGACAACGACAGCCACAGCCACAACCACAACAACAACAACAACAACAACAAGTACTACTACAGCAACGTCAGTAAAACAACAAGAGCAAGAACAAGACAATAACAATATCAATAGCAAGAATAATAACAACAATAAGTCTAACAACAGCAGCAGCACGAATACATCCTACTACTCTCTTGACATCATGATCAACGCCGTGGTTGTTATCACTTCAATTGGCCATGCCATGACGACCGGGCTCATGATGATAAATCATTCTGCGGCGACCACCCGCACCACCGGCACCTGCACACCCTGACGGCAACCTCCCTGAAGGTTGTTTCGGCGCTTGCTGCGGTGAGCTCTGAGTTTGAGGCCTCGTTCCGAGCCCTCGGGCGACGGATGTAGTCGCGGTCCACGGGATTCAGGCTTAAGGGTGTAGGACCGGTACTGTAGAAGGGGCTTGAAGCCATTCGCACCCAAACCCCGGGACCCTGAAATATCAGCAGCTTCTGAAGTCGTGCTACGTATTGTGCAGTTTACCGCGTCGTGAACAGTCACTACGCAACCGGAAGGTTAAACAGCTTGAAGATCTTCTGGCTTCACGCTTGCATTGCGGTTTCTGGATTTCAGCCTGAAGTCTAGACTGAACACCTTGAGAATGGTTGCAAAATCTTGCCAGTGCATCGCCTGGGTCCCGCTAGTAGTGCTCGTATTGCATTGGCGAAGCCATGTTATCTGCTCGAGTCTGCAGTGTGTCGCAAGAGTTCGTGCACCTTCCAGATTCAACGACCCTAAACCCCAGGGTTCAGCATTGGTCCGCACGGACACGACATCATCAACAGCCTTGTCGGGCGTCATATGTTTCCAGACTTGGAATGTGTCTTGTAGGGGTTTATGTGCTTAAAGCAAAGGTATCGGGAACGCCGTTGAAAATCTGTGACTGTTTGCTGCCTTCGGTCGGCAGGTCGCCTCAAATCCCAGGCTGTCAACCCAAATCCTAAACCCTACGTTCTTTTAGACCGTACTGTAAGGTTTTGCGATCTTTCGCACTTCGCCTATCAATGGCGATTTCGCAGACCCAGGGGTTGTTTGAGTTAGGAGCTGTGCTCTCAGTGTTTTCTTTTGCCCCACGCGGGCGGCGCATCACCGGAATGGCGCTACCAAGCTCAGTAGCTCAGCGGGAACACGAGGTACGATTCAGACTAGCAGCTGCAAGTAGTGGCGGTGACTTAGTAGCCCCTAGACCCTAAACCCTAAACCCAACCCTAAATCCTAAACCCAAAACCCAACCCTAAACTCTAAACCCTAAACCTTCTAGCCCCTGCCTGCAATCCAGCTTGACTGCGCCTTTAGAGGGGCTTGCATTGTGCTGAGATGGAAGATTCGTGCACCTTTCCAGATCCACTTCTATGGGCCTATGGGGGACAGGTAGGCCAGGGCCCCTTGGGGTGTCATCTCAGGCGTCAGATGCTTCTGAAGCTTTAACACCTGAGTTTTTAGCCATCCTCCAATACAATAGGAAAATACGTTCGAAACGGGGGCGTGGCTGATGACACCAAGGAAGCGCCAATGTGTGTGACTGTAAGCTCTCCAACACGTCCCACCAGCGATTGGTCAAAGTCCGGGTGCCCCCCTTGTTGCATTCAACGCCGGTGTCCATCCTGAGCATTCAACCTTCAACTCAAGTCATCAGGTCTGACCTATCCTCAAGCCCGCAGCTCCAGACTTACCGTTGAGAGGAATGCAACTCCAACTCCCGACCAAGACTGGGCCTGCGCTGGGAAAACGGTTCAAGCAGCGGTATGTTGGACTCGGGTGGTGCGGGTTCAGAGCCATGTAAACCCTAAACTCTAAACCCTAAACCTTAAACCTCAGATTCAGTCCTCTGTTTGAACGTGGGGCTTCTCGGGGTTCGAGTCATCTGACTGAATCTGACTTCCTGGGTGGGTGTGGCGCATTTGCTGTGGCCTGTCGCCGTGCGTTGATTCGCAGCTTCGAGTCTTTGTTACCATGAGTTCGAGCTTCATGTCTGCCTCTGACTATTGCGCCACAGACCCACAAGCTCTAAATGCCGAATTCCTGGACCCTACGTGTGCCTCCAACCGAAGCAGCCGAATTCATACCCCAAGCAGTTTCTGCTGTGGCTGTCACCGATGTTGCCGCCTGGGCCGACTGTCCCGGTGGTGCGCGAAATTGACGACAGGGCAAGTTGCATTGTCTGGCCTGCAGCGCGTGTGCTCTTGCAATGGCTGCGCACGACCTTGAAGGAGAGTCTGGACACGGAGCTTGAAGGTTCTACGGTTTTGGAGCTTGGAGCTGGGACGGGCTTCCTGTCGCTTGCTTTGGCACAAGAAGGCGTGAAGAAGGTGTTCGCTGCCGAGGGTGACGAGGATGCTTGGGAGAACCTGACGCAGAACGTGGGCACTGCCTCGCAGCTACAGCCGGTCCTGTGGAACTGGGAAAGAGATCCAGCGATACCTGACGAAATTCCTCTTCATTCTCTTCATCTCATAGTGGGATCCGATTTGGTGTATCCGGGGTACTACAATGAGCGTGCTTTGGCAGAGCTGATCCGACGCCTGGTCGACCTGATGTCGCCTGCATGGCACGTTCCCGTCATACTCCTTCTCTGCGCTCCTGCGTTCTGGTTTCAGAATGTATTTCAAGTTGCCAAGACAACTCAATGGTCACTACAGTAACTCATCAACTACTCTGTATATAGATATAAAAAAATATATATACTATAACTATTTTTTGAATTGCTTTTTGTGGTACAGGATATTCTGCTAGTTTAAGCGAACTTCCCTCACAAGCGATGAGGATCGGGAGCCTTTGCCTCCGGGGCCGCGGAGCCTGGAGAGCTTCCTGGGCTTCTGCGATGCTTTGGGTCTCGAGGCCTTGGAGCTGCCCCTGAGCCGCGAGGTCCTGGAAAAGGCCCTGGGGCCCTTGGAGGGCCGAGCCTGCCACGAGGATCCGGGAGGAGCCCTGGGCACCTTGAGCCGGCTGAGGCTCTTCCATTTTGGGAGAGGCGACAAGGTGCGAGGCCTTGAGCCGAAAACCGTAGAGGAAGCCGAAGCCATGAGGAGTTGTCTGTTCGATGCGGAGATGCGGAGTTGTCGGCCCCTTGTTGCTCTGCCTCCGTACTTGCTCTGCAGTCCTGCTTCCGCCTCCAGTAAATTGCTGTGCGCACTGACAGGGCTCACCCACGGAGCCTCGATACAATCTTGTGTGCCGCTCGAGCTAGCAATGCTGCAGGTTTGACTCCCTGATCTACTGGACCCCAAAAGCCTATCGATGTCAGCATTACCAATCAATTGTGTTTCGGCTGCATCTGCTCAATTCTCTGTACGGCTCTGAGCTTGCCACCATGCAGAGTAGACAGAATCCACAAGCAGCTTCACAGGGCTGAGTTGCATAGGTGGGGATCACAGCTCCGGCCTGCCAATTTCAAGCAGGATCCATTCTTCCATTCTTAGTGACAATGGACCCTAAACAGGCCACAGCTCCAATCGAGCCCTTGCTTTGTTGCTTGAAGCGCGACATGTCGGAAGACGCGGCGGTACCGGAGCAAGATGCCGTGGCTTGCCCAGTCTAGCAAAGCTTGTTTGAGGTCTGCAGCGGGTCGTTGCCTTGAAGCTTTCTACTTTCCCACATAGCTTTCGCCGTCAACCCTAAAGATTAAGCCCTAACCCGCCTGGAACGTTCTGGTCAGGTAGCCGGCGATGCTTCGTCAAGTGACGGCGAGGCCAAGGTGCCTGAACCCTTAGTGTGAGAGTAGTGGTAACAAACTGCTTGTCCAGTTTTATCCTTACGCTTTCATCACTGTAGAGCGTGAGTTTTGTTGATCCAACTTCGCATGTTCGTCGTCAGAAGTGGCCTGATGCTGCTATTCAGAAGGACGGTCCTCCTGACGATGCAGATGTGACTCTTCGCAAAGTCCAGCCCCTGGTTGTTGACTTCCCTGGCGTGGGAAGAGAGTGAATGCCGAGAATTTAGCCCGCACCCGTTGTGCCTTTAGCCCGGGACTTGTGGTTTCAGGGTTTCTGCTGAGGTGTTGTTCGACGTTGAGCCAAGACAGTCTGCGAATGGGAGCCTGGTCCTTACGTTGCCACCGAACGACCGGGGAAAAAGCTTCTGTTCTGGACTGTAAGGGACCTCAATACACATCCTAAGTAGTAGGGCACAGCCTTGAGCGGGGCTTGTTTCAGGCCCAGTCTTTTTGGGGCAGTGGCAACAGCGAGAGCAGGAGCAGGTGATAGTAGTAGTAGCAGCAGGAGGAGGAGGTGTAGAAGCAGATGTAGTACTGTTAGTAGATATAGCAGTGGGGATGGGAGTGGGAGTGGGAGGAGCAGAAGGAGTAGTGGTAGGTGTTCGTCGAAGTGGTGGTGTTGGTGGTGGTGAGACTGACGGAGAGCATGAGGAAGAAGGTAAAATGTTCAGATGAAAAAAGCGATCTTCCATGGCATGGACATTGAAAAACGAACCCTTCGGTATTCTCCCCCCACAGCTGGCAACGCAATGTGGATGATTGAAGGCTTACCGTCGCCAAGCAAGAGACGTCGAAGTCGGCAGGCTGCCATAGGTGGATTGCCTGACAGTTGCATTGCTCACCTGGATGTATGCATCCGGATGTTGACATGTGCTGAAGAAATCAAAGGAGTAAGTGGCAGTGTTAGACAGTTGTGCGTTTATATCACGCAAACCCCTATACTTTACTATAAGATACTACAGTATACAGTACCCACAATAAACTATAGTATATTACCATATACCACAGAATATCCTGGTATGCGATAGCATGCAATGGTATGTTATCAGAAGCTATAGTATGCTATGTTATACTATGTTCAAGTATAACTTTTTGCAGGTTACTATGATACGCAACAGTAACCAATAGTATACTGTGGTTTAAACTCGTGTACCATATCATAGTATACTATGGTATTTAAATCATATACCATAGTAAACACTGATAAACCATAACATACAATGACACCCCATAGTGTACTAGGAACTACTACATTCGACCATCGTATGCTATGGTGTACTACAGTATGCCGCAGTATGCTACAGCATAGTATACTATACTAGAGTTTGATATACCAGGATATTGATAATATACCATCGTATACGATAATAAACTACATGACTCCCAGAACACTGATCTTGACCTGCAGGTGGCCTCGGCACAGTCTGTGTTCCAATTCGCGCAGGTTTAACAGAGGAGCAGGTGGGCCAAGTTCGGTTTCGGGCTTAGGGTTAAGGGTTACACGGCTGTGTAGCTTGATGGGAGAAGCCAGCAAAGGCATATCGTACTTGGAGTCACGGTTCAGGGCTTTAGGGACGAGGGAAGCTCCTCGAACTGCTAGTTGCCGTGATCGGAGTGAGGGTGTCCATGGTACCAGGTTAGAGATAGTGGCAGGGGTGGTGCTCGTGGTCGTTGTAGTGGTGATAGTGGTGTGGTTGTTACTCTTCCTGGTGGCTCGTGGCGGCAATGGTGTGCCATTGTGATGCTTAGCACTTGCTTCTGTCGTTGTGGTCCTTCTCGTCGCTGCTGCCGGTGTTGCTTGTTTGTTGGGAACAGCGCGTCGGCCGCTGCTGATGCGTTTGTAGCTGCCCCTGCTGAAGCTTCTGGCGGAGATGCTGATGCCCAACACAGTGTTGATTATAGTGCTGTTCATCATCTGCTTGACAATGGCGACGATGGTCATGTTAGTGGTGCTGAGTATGACGAGCTGCTTATGTCTGGTGCGATGGTGTGATGTTGATATTGTTGACGACGATGATAATGTTGATGAGGAGCAGCAGATGATGCTCAAAATACCCAGTTTAAACACAAAGAGTAGTATGATCCCTTCGTAGGGTTATCGTTTTGGATCCTCGAAGGGGTCTGGGATAAACTAGAATCGAAGCACATACGGTATAAATCCCAAACTGTGAAACCCTTGCAAAAGCCTTTAGAACCTTTCTAGTACCCTTGTAGGCTTTTGCAATAAAGCACGTGCAGAATCCTTGTTTCGAGCCATTTCACACACCTATGAAACCCTGAAGCCCCCCCATAACCAGCCCTGCTCAAATCCTAAACCCTAAACCTTAAACCCGAAACCCAAAGGGTAGCCAGGTCCATTGAAAACGGAGAAAACATGTCATAAGATCCTCTAACAAGACTCTTAATCCAAAAGCCCGGAGGATACTGGGCAGGCAGGTTCCCGGAACAAACTGTCGCAAAACTACATAGCCGTTTCTGAAAGCCTAAAAGCGAATTACAATATGGGATTGGGGTCCCTAAGCCCTAAATCCCTAAAGCCTAAGACTCAAAGCACCCCCTCTAAACCCTAATCCGAAACCCTAAAACCTTGGACCCGAAGCCCAAAACCCTAAACCCTAACACCTAAACCCCAAGCTTAAACCCTCAAACCTTAGACCCAAAACCCAGAACCTGAAGCCTTAAACGTCGTGATGGTGATGATCAAGGGCTGTCGTGAGGGTGCTGATGTTCCGTGAGCCGGCTGGTGGTCTCTGAGTGCTATTCTGAGGGTTGGCTTTTAGAGGGGTGCTGGAGTGGACTAGGGAGAAAAAAAGAAACCCTGAACCCTAAACCCCAAACCCTAAACCCTAAACCCTATACCCTAACCCATTCCAAACACGAACCCTAGCCAGGTGCAGGGTCTCCGGGAGGTCTTCAGCCTCTTCGATCCCGACGGGCCCGGAGGGGGTGGGGAAGGTTCGGGTTTAGCGTTTCAGATCCAAAGGGGTTTCACAGGCTTCTGGAAGAATTTAGGGTTTGGGCTCTGCGGATTATCTTTTGGGGGAACTTAGGGTGCCGGGCTCTTCAGCTGGCTTCAGGATTCAACAGGCTCCGAGGTTTAGGTTTTACGGATTAGGGCTCGGGTTTTAGAGGGCCAGGTTTGGGATTTCGTGTGGACCTATGAACGCGCTGTGGGCTTTGGAGTGTGTTGGGGCTGGGGCGTTCTGGGTTCAGGATCCGGCGGTGTCGGAAGTTGCTTTAGGGTGTTGCTGATGTGCCCTAAAACCCTGAACTCTAAACTCTAAACAACCCTAAACCCTAAACTGTAAACAACGCTAAACTCTAAACAACCCTAACCCTAAACTCTAAACAACCCTAAACCCTAAACACAAAGCTCTTCATTCGTTCGACCTAACTAACTCAGGCAGGTGGAAAAGAGGTGACAAAAAAACTCTTCATTCGGTCTATGTTTCGGCAGCTCTTGAGATCCTACACCTGGCGGAGCAAACGTCTGCTGGTTCTCGGTGTTGGGCTGGGGCCGGGGATGCTGTTTTCGAGTTTCGGAGTTCAGGGATGCGGGGATTTTTCGGGTTTAGGGTTTAGGGTTCGGGGTTTAGGGTTTAGGGATGCTATAAGGGTCTGAATAACTAGTTCTTTTGCTGGAAGCCGGACTTTGTGCCGGGATCTTGAAGGTTTAGAAGGTTTATTTCCCGTCTTTGGGAGCTCGGATGGGTCATCCAAATGTCAAGCATCTGAGCCTGAGCTGAGGTTCAAGGCTCGTAGGCCGTAGGCTCTAAGGTTTGGGATTGAGCAGCATCGTTGACGCTTTCAGGATGTGCGGCTGTTGCGGAATGGCTGTGTCTATTTTTGGGCCGAAGGAACCGCAGCAGCTACGTCCTGCGCTCTGGAGCCCAAGCATGAAGTCGCGACGAAAGTCGTCACAAAATCGTGGACATCGAGTTTTTCTGTGGTATAATATACTTATACAGTTACTATGCTCTTCCTTACCCCAAAAAGGTGTTGCGTTGTAGCAGTCAAGTGCCAGGTCCGGCCGAGTGTGCCCGAAAGCCATCGCCAAGTCGGCGGCCACTGCGGGTTTGGAGCGGGACTCCCCCGAGGTGCCAGTATCAGCATGCTTATCAATGCGTGCACCGTGTGTGTGTGTGTATAGAAATAGAGGAAAATAGATAAATCAAAAATGTTATATATACACACATCTATATATATATATATAATTACAGTTCAGCTTGTTACTGTATACATATTCTTATGCATATGTCTTCAAAACATGTTTTAAGGTATATACTGTACTCCAACTTGTGTGGTTTGCTGCTGCACCGTCATACAGGTGTAATACCAACCACAAGAAGTTCTGCTGACTCTGCCGACAGTCATAGGAAGATGACCTGCATGAAGTTTACACAGTGTGTGACAGGAAGAGAAAGAAGAAAATATAGACGACTCAGCATTAGCACCACGGCAAATGATTACTGAAAGTGAAATTCCGAGAAGTCATACTTACTGGGTTTAGGGGTTTAGGGTTTAGGGTTTCTTCGATTCATCCATTAGCGTTTCGCTGCGGGGCCAAGGCCTCATTGCAGTGTGTGACCCAGCCCTCAAGCCCAAAAACCGCCCAAACTCTCGACCCTGAAGACCCCTAAACCCTAAACCTTAAACCCCCAAGGATCCTAGGTCCCATTTCAGGGTAGCAGCCAGTCCTGGAAGTCCTAGCAAGATTGTGATCAGGGATATAGGGCTCTAAACCCGAGGGTTTGGGGTTTGGGGTTTAGGGTTTTAGGGGTTTAGGGTTTAGGGGTTTAGGGGTTTAGGGTTTAGGGTTGGTTTGCTCGTTAAAGCCCGAGGCGTGGGTTGCACACTGGCATCCATCGTGTTAGAATTCTTTCAGCACCAGCTCGGCCCCTCTGCCACACACTGAAATCTTCAAGCCCCGGAAGCAAAATTTTCCTGCACACCAAAAGTCTTGAATCATGAAACCCTAAGCCCTGAAAGCCAAGCCCCAAACCCTCAGCCTCGGAACCGAAGTGGGGTTCCTCAGTACCACCTAGTCTCCCTGCCGGGCTCCGTAGAATTTCGGAGGTCATCCCTTGGGGCTCTTTGCCAGGGCAGCATAATCTTCAGCACCCTAGTTTCGGAAACTCACGGTCCCGAACATCGAACTCCTCCCAAACCCTAAACCCCAAATCCTAAACCCTCAACCCTCAACCCTAAACCCTAGACCCTAAACCCTAAACCCTACTCTCGAAAGCCTTCCTTCTCGGAGGTGTGGCGTCTCTTGAGCTGGTTGGAGAGCGAGAGCTACGAGAGTGTGGATTTCGAGGACGGCTACGGTTTCGGGTTTTCTTAGGGTTTAGGTTTAGGGTTTAGGGTTTAGGGTTTAGGGTTTAGGGTTTAGGGTTGTCCCCCTCATTCCCGCA